CAAAAGCTGGATAAATCGAATGGTGCAGTTGCTGCTGACAAAGCGAACGGTCACAAATCACCCAGTCCCACGGACTCTTACACTAATAACAACAGGTTACCCACTGTCGTGAATGGACACCATAGCCCTAATAATAATAATAATAACAATAATAATAATAATAATAATAACAACAATAACAACAACAATAACAACAACAATAATAGTTCAAGCGTAAAACAAACCGAGATTCCGAGGTCAGAGATTTATGTTCCACTCACGAATCCCGGCACGGATTATTGGCACGCGAGAAACCCCGTGGCGGATCAAGTGTTTATTACAGACGTTACTGTTAATCTGAAGACCGTTACCATCAGGGAATGCAAGACTGAAAAAGGTTTCTTTCGAGAAAGAGATCCCAAAGAAACTCTTTGAGCTTCAAGAATCTAACATCTTTGATGGTCCTGCAACGGGAATGTCCGCTTTAAGTCGTATTGAATCACAATATGTAAATATAAATTATTTTCATTCGTTGGATGTTAAATCAAGGATGTTGTCAGGATACCAAGCAAATTAAATTTTGTCTTGTGATATATGAAGACATCATGTTAAGTATCGCAATGAAAATCGCGAAAGTATCACGTAAAGATCTTGGAGCACCAATTGGAATTCTAAGAATATCAAACAGATGCTGAAACGAAGATCAATCAGTCGGACCTCATTACATGAGGATCCGCGATTTTTTTTTTTACTGAAAATTGATCGTTGTGTCCAGACAGATCATTGTGTACGATTTTGTGTAAATTGATTGTAAACTAGGCAATGTCGGTATGATATTCATTATCGAGTATACATCATACCACTATCATGATATATTTTAAAATGCTTGATAGATTTTAATCACACGCTGAAGATCTGGAAGATATTAGAGGATAATATATCTTCTAATCGATTTTATTATTTGCTTGTCTTAGAACGCTAAGAGAATGCTATAAAATAAAAATCTTCAACTTTTGTTTTTACACTACGGGATATATATTATATACACGAGATATACTTAGGAAAAAAAATATTTTTCTAATTCATTTTTAGAATACTGAAACTGCTTCGTGGAAGCGATTCGGGGGGAGATGTTCCGAGTTATTTTGAAGAGAAAAAAATGGTTTTCAACACGTTACAATGTTGTACCCTATTCATCGGTGAATATTTTGCTACGTGTTGGAAAATAGAGTATCGCGAAAGAAAAATGTGTAAATTATATTTTGAATGTATGTAAGAAAGTGTATGATTCAAAAATTTCAGGCGATTACAAAATGTCATTCGATTTGGAGGAAACACAGTATTTCAATCATTATCGGTGGTGATGCGTTTTCTTGGTTCGACTTGAACTAATTCGCGATACCCGTTTGACGATAGATGCATTTCGATGCTATCGAACGCTTTATTCGATTTTGTGTATATTCTCATTTGGTATATAATTAATTATTTTTATTTAGTGTAGAAAGTCCAGCATATATCGATCGTGACAGTTCCGCGAGATTATTGCATATCTCTTAGTGAATTAATTTTATTTTTAGATTCCAATTATCAAATATCACCAAATAGCAGGATGCTCCTTTGATGATAAAGGCGCGTTGAAATTAGTACAACAATCCAAATCTAATTATATTCAACATCTGATTATATTTACACGCTACTCGGTATACTGTTACCTCGTTTTAGTGATGCTGTATGGTATATTAGCCGACTTTCAAAATGACTTTCAATTATATCATATAGTTTGCATTGATAAATCTTCTCACTATTACACTTATCATTATTCCGTTTACAATGCGTCATTAATTCTTTCCCACGGTAAACGCTCCTATCACACAGTAAAGCTTAAGACTCACTCAGATTTCATAATTACATAAATGGAAATAAAGATCTGGAGACACTGGTAGTGTCTCGGCGCTAAGCTGTGGCGCGAGACACGGACGTGCCTCCTTTACGCGAACCAGCGAGTTGCGTCAGATCAAGGTTATCGGAAACTCAATAAGGGCTGAACCGATCAAGTTCTAAGTGTGCTCAATCGATTACAACCGCTCGGAATATATAATGATAATCATATAATGGTTCAATAATAATAAACAAACATAAATAACAAGAAGGGGTTAATGAAATTCATTTGAAATACATAAAAATCTGGCTTGTAGCCCCTTCTTGTTATTTATGTTTGTTTATAAATGAAAATTTTATTCTCTGATTTGTGAGAAAAAATCTATAAACTCCCAGAAATAATTGAAAAAATTTACAATTTGCGGTTGGCTTATGATGCCATGGTTGTTGTTGTGTCTCAACAGATTGAGACAGTTTTCAATTTTTCTTCCTCTTGAATTGAAAAAAAAAACAACATACTATTTTGAAATACAGTATCACGTTTTCTTATTTCTTATATATTTTTATTTTCTTTAATTATTTTTCTTATCGAAGATTGATTTCTTTTTTCAATTATCAAATGATGTTCCCTGATTATTAGATCTCTTTGACATTTGCTTCTATACGGAGCAAATCCTACTGCGGTGTTAGAGAAGCCACGTGAGAAAGAATAAAGAAATTCAAGCAATTACTGAATTTAATTCGAAAATAATCGAAAAATATGTGTGAAAAATGATGAAAAGAAGTACGACAATATAATAAGCTAATAATTTTTGTTTCTTTAGGCCCTGCGCACAATAGCAGGAATAAGGAATTAGGAATAAAGAATACACGATTTTAATCTATCAGAAATCAGATCGGAATACACAGTTTCTGATAGGTTGAAATCGTTTATTCTTTATTCCCAATTCCTTATTCCTTCTATTGTGCGCAAGGCCTTATGCCGATATAATAGAATATTCTTCAGAAGATGTTTTGTGTGTTTCAAGCACAAGTACGTTAGCTACATAGTTTCGTTTTACATTTAGGTAAACTAAATACAAGTTGACAATTATGCTTGCGCTTATTTGCAAATGAATAAAATGTTTAATACATACGCTTCTTTCTCGCATATTTATAGGGACAGAAATTTGAAATTATCGAAATTAGACTAGTGTCTCAGTACTTGCTTTGGAGTTTCTTGTCATATTAGATACATACAGCATCGCTAAAGCACGATGCGATTACTTGATGGAGCAGAAGACTACAGCATGATAGGGCCCCTTCTGTGGATAGTGTTATGTTAAAAAAAAAGAGTTCTCGGGTTAAATATATATTAAACGCGTAAGTATATATTTAAATATATATTAAACGCGTAAGTATATATTTAAATATATATTAAACGCATTAATATATATTTAACGTGCACGATACGTGTTAAATTTAAATATATATATACGTTGCTTATTTATTATAATTAATACGAGAACTTTTAGGTTTCTACGTCCTTAATGTAGCTATAATTAGAATGTATTATATATGTGCGGTGTGTCTTATTTGTGAGCGTGTTCGGCAAGATGTTATTTCCTGCGTTTAGCACGATTTACTGCGTCATCGCGTGTCCCAATAGTCGTTGGGACTCAATGAGATTTTAGAGAAATTTGTCAAAAAAGGAAATTCCGACAACTCTTGGAAAACAGATCAAAGAGATAGATCTATGTGCGTGTTTGTTCCTTTTGTTTTTAAACGGGGGCCATTCGCATAAGATTTAGATTGACATATTCGTTATAATTATCAATGCGGAAGATTGAAGTATACATTTCAATTGTCATGTAATGTAAACCACTGTATATATTCATATGGAAAGCATTTCCTGTAAAAAGAAAATTGTACATACATAGTTTGGATGAAACTTGTACGTTTCGCTATGGCGGACGGAGCATGTGTGAGAAGGATGGCTTATATAAATCTTTGAATTATCAGTTGTACATAGATAAAGAGACACGGAAACCCCCTCCCCCCTACCCCTTTAGTTGTAAATGTAAAATTGCAACTAATAGAGCTATAGAGAAAAAAAAAGAGAGAAATCCTTTTCTTAGCTTTAGAACTTCAAGATAGACTGTGCGCGTACCTTCGATATTGTTTCTGTACTTATAAATATATTCAGACTACTTATACTGATAAAGAAAAAAAAAAGAGAAAAGGGAGATGAAAAAAAAGACATGAAACGATAACGCAGTGACTACGCAGGCATATACGATACGTGAACCCCGGTAGTACCAAATTCAACGGTAATTTTAGTTCTGTCTGGTACAGATTCCTTATATTTCAATAAAATCTCTACTTGAAGTCAGGCTGTTTTTAGATCCTAGATCTCTTCCTCGCGAATCTCAATGGCACTCGCATGCCATAATTGTCATATGTCTGCCTTGTATATAATATATAATTCGGACATAATTGTATATAACTTGTCTTTTTAATCCGTGAGCTTTAATGATTCTTGAGTGCGATTATGAAAAGTAAAATGTTAGTTTTCGTTTATTTCTCTTATACAGCTTTCAGTTCGTAAATAAAAAAAGATTATAAGTATGTAGAATTTTAAAGTTTTTTTATCAATCTTATATATATGTATATATTTTTTTTACATACAGAGATATTTTGTATAGACAAAAAAAAAGATTTTACGAAGGTAATCGGAAATCAGAAATTTTTCATCGGCTGCATTGAATAAATTGATGTAAATCAAATTTTATATCACTTCTTTATATACATATATACAGATATAATAATTTGTCCATCTGAAAGCGCTTCCCGCGGCATAAGGGGCGTTTCACCTTTGCAGGCGAAAAAAAATCGAAAAATTTTTTACATATTTTGATTTCTACATGTGTGTAAAATATCCCTGTAAAAGGATTTTTTTAAATTCGTAATATTGACGGAGTTATGAGCTCAAATATATAAGCGCGCAAGGGGCCTCTAAGCGCTTACCGGCACAGCAGCTCTTGTAATGCTATTGAAGTCATAATTCAAAGAGAAAACCGGTAGATGTCAGTTACAGTGAATTTTTTGAGGGTTTCTATTGGTCCAAGAAAAGACTTACTTTCTTATACTAGGAATAGGTTAGAACTGCTCAAATCTCGTATTTTGTTATACATATCATGTCGGTTACATCATGTATTTCAAAATGTTCCGTGAAAAGAAATTTTCTAAAAGTGATATTCGACTTGGACATAAAAGTAAGAAACGATCTTTTCATGGGAATCGATATTCAAATGAATTGGAAACAGAGTTCGCCAGTACATCGGCAAAAAAACTAAAAGAATGTAATAATAGTGACGTGCAAATGGATATGCTACAAAGCATATTATTGCTTTATAAATTTTTATCAATTTTTAATAAATTAACTGAAATATTGGTGTGCAAAAATTGCAAAAGAGAAATTAGTTTTAGTAAGACTGGAGAAATGGGGTTGGGATTTAAATTAGTCGTCGAATGCAGCTGTAGGAGCCATTCCTTCTTGCCCTCTTATTAATAATCAATCGTTCGAGATTAATCGACGTATAATATTTGTGATGCGTATTTTGGGCATTGGATTGAATGGCTTAAATATATTCTGCGGTTTGATGGATTTATGCACAGGTTTTACTTCGCGTATGTATTATTCTGCTTTGGACAACATTTATATGGCTGCAGAAGCTGTGCATGATCTCAGTATAAAAAACACTGCAAAAAAAGAAATCGAAGAAAACGCAAAAGCAGAAAATAAACCTTTACATTTAATAACTGTGTCTGGTGATGGTACATGGAGTAAAAGAGGCTTGTCCTCCTTATTTGGCGTCGTTATACTGATCGGAAAGTATGCAAACAAAGTACTGGATGTTATTGTCAAATCTAACTTTTGTAAAGCATGTTCACTTTGAAAACATGATGATTCTATAGAAGAGTTATTGTGGCACGAACATGAAAAAGACTGCACTATCAATCACTCAGGAAGCGCAGAAAAAATGAAAGTTGACGGCATTATTGAAATGTTCCAACGATCTCAAGATTTACACGGCGTTAAATACAAAAACTATATAGGTGACGGTGAAAGTGAAACTTTCACAAGTTTGCTCAATAAGAACCCATATGGAGACGAATTGTTAATGAACAAAAAAGAATGCATTTCACATGTTCAAAAGCGTATGGGAAGCAGATTGAGAAATGCTAAAAAGTCGCACAAAGGTATTGATGGAAAAGGAACAGGAAAATTAACAGATAAATTAATTAAAGATTTGACTATTTATTATGGATTAGCAATACGACAAATTACAGAATCTTTACAGAATATGAAAAATGCAGTATGGGCGACATACTATCATAAAATATCCACCGACAAACAGCCCATGCATTCTCATTGTCCACCGGGGTTAGATTCTTGGTGCAGTTGGCGCGTTGCGGAGACTAACGGCACAATTCAAAATTATCATCACGATCCACCTCTGACTTCTGAAGTACAATCTGCCATTTACAAGATTTATGAAGATCTTTCTGACGATAATTTGTTAACGCGATGTCTCGGTGGACATACACAAAATAATGTTATAACGAAAGTTACAACGAAGTTCTCTGGCACTACGCGCCGAAACACAATTTTTGTGGGCCAAAAATTATATCTGTTTCAGCATTTTTAGCAACGTGTACATTTAATGACGGTTTTATAAGTTTATTAAAAATAATGAACATTCTAGGGATCCGGTTTGGACAAATAGCAAAAATATTTGCCGATGAAAAGAACGGACAGCGCATAAGCAAAGCAAATTGTCGTACGTCAGAATCCTCAAGAGAAGCCAGAACAGCTCGGCGATTGGAGAGATTAATGGAAAATGAATTTTATGAAGAGGAGGAAGAATCAGTGTATGGCCCTAGTATTGCAGAATAATTGTAAGTGTACTAAAAAATTTGTTATATGTGAAAAAGGTCAAACCAAAACTTTAAACGCATTTTTCTCAAAACCACATTTTTCGACCTGACGGAACTAATAACTCAAAAATAGATTAAGATATTGACTTAATTCTTTTTTCCTCTTGATCCTAATACTTTTGCGCATGGCAGGAACTAGAATCATGATTTTACAACAAATATTCGATTTGTTATTCACAAAAAAGTAACAAATTTTTAGGACAAAAAATTAATTTTTTTTTTCAATGCCATTATTTTGACAAATTTCAGGCAATTGACATTATTTTAGTTCCTGCCATAACGACACTCATATAATTAATAAAAATAAAAAGAATTTTGATTTCAGATGATTTACAGAGTCAATATTACTTCCGTTATGGAGACGAGTTTTGAAGATGACCCCTAATTCGATCGTCATTTGGAGACATTAAAATGCATATTCATCTAATTAAAAAATATTTTTTTTACTGTTTAGACATTACATAATTTCATGCAAAATGCCATATTGTTCTGTATATAGTAAATTTTCTTTAAAAAATTCATGAAATTGAGCTAATTTTACGGCCGGTAAAGGTAAAACCCCCCATAATGCAAATAGAGATGTATTCTTTCGCTTGTTCAATTGTTACAGCCAATCAGAGCAATCTTGGCCTTTATTCCGCTATTTTTTCGGTGAATTTTGTTTCAATATGCCTGCTATGAGAGTAAAAGTCAGTTTCATGTATAATAAATAATCAGTATTATTTGTAATATAACAACATTTGACAATCTTTATAATATGACAACCTTTGTAATATGACTTTTGCAATTTTTCGTACAACATGTCGACATTACTACTTATTATTTATCACTTTATTGTTTTTAAAAAAATAACTAGCATTTAAACTTATAATTTACATGAAGACCGCAGCTACTACCACATTATAGTAATTTTAAATATAAAATTTTCTCCGTGCACCTGTGTGGGATATATATTTTTAACAGGCAGGATTTATATCCAAAACATACAAAGTGCGCAGATTGAATTCAGTGCACTAAATACAATAAACGCATTACATAAAATATGTACCTCATGTCATAATACTTGTAATGTATCTGGGAAGATTGTAATTATTATTTATTACTTCATATACATATTTATCATTTTTATTCCTTAATAAAACTTTATAAACGCATTTTATAAGTTATTATGTCATTTTACGTCTTATTTATACGCATTATTTGTAAATTTTTTATGAGCCATACATACCCCCCACCCCTCTCCCTCTATGAGTAGCCATATATCCAACCCCTATAGGATATACGGCAAAAATGCAAGGGTTTAAAAAAGTTCATTTTTTAGTACGAAATATAAATATTTCGGATTTCTAATATTTTTTTCATAATAATAGACAGTACAAAGTTTTTACTGATACAGTTCGTTTACTTTAAACACAGTAAATAATTAGAAATGAGATCAAACTCAATATGTACTTAAAAATTCGAGTCAAATTCAATAATTTAGTTTTATTTTTTAGGATTCGAGTAATACTCATAAGAAATAATATTTCATACTTCATACTTGCAAAGTAATCCCAACTTGCTGGTTTCGAATCTTACATACGAGTACCTGCAAGATTCGAAATATACTTACAAAGTACTTTTTATCGTACAAAATCGAATCTTTTACAAGTAATACTCGAACTCTAACAGGGTTATTAACGAACAGAAATTAATGCATTTTTTTTACTTTTAAGCATTTCGAAACGTTTTCAAGGTACATTTCAGCATTTAATTATAATTTCTTGGACATGTTATTACACGAATATATGTACATTTAAATGTTTTATTCACTATTTGAAGAAAATGCCAAACTCTCTCGTGGCCTTCGATTGTAATGTCTTAGTAACACCCTTTCTATAAGTTTTTATATTGAAATAATTATAAAAATAAGCGAAACGTATTCTTTTATACGTGCTGAGAACGTTAAGGGAGTGAAATCCTCTCTTGAAAAAATCGGTTTTTTTCTTTCGAAGCGAATATCTTCGAAATTATAAGAAATAGAAATAATTTTTCAGAAACGTGCTATAATCTTACTGTTAGCAACTTTAAAATATAATTTTAAATTATTAAATAATCCAGAGTGGAATGCTCTTCATACAATTGTGGTCGTTTTGCGGATATTTTTTTATGTTACGGAAGAAATTAGTAGCGAGATGAATGTAAACTTATCGAAAATAATAGCTATTAAAAAACAATTAAATATTCTTTTTACATGGATTTATTAATCCATGTAAATTTATTAATTCAAATTTATTTTTCGAGGTACTCATAGAAGGTTCGAACTTATTCCGTTTTAGGTTCGAGTCCACTTGGAAGAACTATTTTTATTTTTCGAGGTATTCATAGAGGTTCGAATCTACTCGGAAGTACTGCTACTATTTTTCGAAGTAATCGTGGAGAGTTCGAAACTTCTTCAATAGATTCGAACCTACTTGTAAGATACTTTTTTTTAATCCCATCGCTATAAATAATACTTAATAAATTAAGTTTTTGATAGGTGCGGCGTATATACCGGAGTGACCCTATTTAAATTTATTATGTCGACATAATAAATTTAAACGATTTAAGAGTATCAATTAAACATATATTTAAATATCATTTTTTTTAAATGCTTAAAAATTATTAAAGGCATATATCTTTCTCAGCCCGTAAAATAGCTGGTCATGTTCACTATTTTTTTTTTCCAAGAAAGAAAAGGCACATGACGATCGGGTTTTTTTTATATTAAAAAACATATTTTAGATTTATAAATCAAATTTTATTAAGGTATATAAAATCCCCTCCTCCCCTCCTTTATCCCCCTGCAGTTCCTAGAAGCTGCCCGTGCTCGACGGGACTTAAATCGCGATACCATGGAATGGTCTTTGGCCGCTCATCTGAAATAAAAAATCAAAATTGCATCTTGAAGTTTCTTAAATTTACTCGTATTTGAACCATGCTTTTTTTAAATTTCGAATATAAAACAAAATGGCGGACATTCAAACTTTAGGTATCATTTTTCGCGTATTTCATTCCTTAACTGTATAAAAGAATATAAAAAATTAAGATATCAAAAAAATCATGGGTCAAATACTATAGAATTTTATAAGCTTTCAGACAAAAAAAAAGGGAGGGAATCGGTTTAGTAGTTTTCGAGATATTTATGGTACCGATTTTAAAAACGTGATTTATCGAGATAAACGCGTTCAAGTTTTGGAACACTCACGCTGTACACAACATATTTTATCTTTTTATAAATATCTATTCATAAAACAAAGATTCTTAGTATTCTTTTTTTTTGTTCATTACATAACTTAGATAGAATGAAGCAATGCGCTCAATCTTAGGTGCGTATCTCTATCTTAGTTATACAATTAATGATATTTAAACCAGTGAGAAACTGGATTGATGTTTATCTCTATCTTAGTTATACAATGAATGATATTTAAATCCAATGAGAAACTGAAAGAATAAAATCTGTCATCTTGACAGATAAAATATTACAGAATTATACAACAATTGCAAAACAGTTCTTTCTGCTGAGCCACTGTTAATTTTCTTTTCAAATTTTAAATCTTTTAAAAATAATCTTTGTCAAGATGACAGATGTAATTGATTGCGTACGAAAAATAAAAAATTTTAAAGTATAATCAAATTTTCTATTTTTTATACGCAATCAATTACATCTGTCATCTTGACAAAGATTATTTTAAAACAGATTTCGAGCAATATCTATGGATTCCGCCGAAACAGCACAGAGAATCTAAAACATCTTTTTAAATCTCTGAATTATGAAAAATATTTTTCCTTCGTTCCATTTCTGATATCAAAATCATTTTTATTATAAGGATGGTAATCAGTTATTAGGTCACCGATACCGACATACCTTGTTTTTAGACAACCTCGTTTTTAGACAATATTTCTTGAAAAAAAAAGATAAAAATAAAACTTTAAAATTATAAGTACAAACTAAAAAATATCTTCCATCAGGAAGTATAAGTAGTTTTTACGGTGAGTGTTCATAACAAGATTTATATAACTTGGTTTTTCTTCTTTTTTCCTTTTTCTCTCATATATATATGGATCAATAATTGGTTTGCATCATATATAATATACAGATATTTCAAGCTTTCGATCTGCTAATCGTTGAGAAGGAAATTTTGGCCTGGACACGTACCGAACATTCAAAATTTACCAAGGACAAATGCCAATTAGTAAATATTTAAGAACTTCCGGAACAATAATTACGTATCATCTGAAGATGGCTTAATAATAAGCTGAAACATGTAATGTAATGTAATGTATTATCTTTTCAAAGCTTTGAGCAAATTTTCATTGTATTTATGTTAGATATATATATTTTAATAATTTAAAAATTAACTTGACTCTTATATGTCCTTTTTGCGTTGAATTATATAAGTAGTTTTTATAATGCTGTTCGCAATTTCGCAGTAATTAATTTTTTCATAAGGTAAGCAGAAATGAGCGTCTGACAAAATGGGCTCCAAAACTGACACAGTAGTGATACTACAAATTCCTATTATTTTTTTTTCTTTTACAGGAATTATCTGAATAAAGTACCTACAAGTGAATGTATACGAGATATTCCAAAATCTTTTCACTTCATTATAAAACGTTTTTATTTAATTATGTTCATATTTTTTCCTACTAAAAAAAATCATGTAATAACGTTACATGATAAAATCATGTAATTAAAATTAAAACATATAAATCACATAACGAATTGTCCCAAATAAGTACGTGATTTTTTAAATGACGTAAAAAATCATGTAATAACGTTACATGATGAAATCATGTAATTAAAACATGTAAATCACGTAGCGAATTGTTCCAAATCAGTAAGTGATTTTTTTAAATGACGTAATTTGAAAAATCACATGATAGTAGAAATAATTTTATCCATCATGTGATTTTAAAGTTGTCAAATTTTAAAGAATTCAATAATAGAAATAGAAATAAAAAACATATAACCATGTGATATTTTAAATTACATAATACCAAAAACTCTCGGATTTGGAACAATCTGTTACATGATTTACGTGTTTTAATTACATGATTTCGTCATGCAACTGTGTAACGCGATTTTTTCAGTAGGGTTCACGCTTTTCTGCAAGATGCAAATATGTAACGCGATAGTTTTTCAAGAGTTTTCCATATATACTATTGTTTTCAGCTCCAATAAAGTTATTTGAAACTCTAAAGCTACATTATAAAGATCAAGTTAGCTCATGATCTGTTTTACAGACAGGTGTGGCGGTTTATACTGTACCCCAATTTTAAATTTAAAATCGTATTATGAAAAAATTAAGATAAAAAATAATATAAATAAAACTAATTTAGGAAATTACAAACATTTAAAATGACGTAATATTATCACTAATATAGTGACAATTATTTAAGCTACGCAATTTGCAAAAGAAAATCGTAAGAATTTTATTTTCGTATTTGTA